TTCTGATATTTCAAAAATATCAACAGCCATTATAACCCAAGAAGCAAAATGTCTGTTTGTGGGTAATAATCCCAGACAGATGCCTCCTGCACGCAAACAACCAGTGCCTCCGAGACAGGAGGCTCTAAATAAATAATCAACAAGTCCTAGAGCTGAATGCACAGTTGCTGTTTGCATCATAAATAAATGAGGAGTCTTTTATTTACTCATCCTGGTGGCAGAGCACACAGCACAAGCTCCTCAGAGCTCTATTGGTGCTGCTCCGGCACAGCTGCTCGTCTGGGGATGTGGTGGACACAGCACAGCTCTGTTTGCTGGGGAGGTTGGATGAGCACGGTGGGAAGGTCTCTGCATCCACACAGATGGGAGCAGGTGTACAGGAAACCCAATTCCTTTTTGTTGCTGATGCTGTACGACATTGTGGCACTTATAAGTGTTGACCCTCATTGGGTGCCTTCCAACTTGGGATATTCTATGACTCGGTGACATTGTTTTCCACCGGTGTGAGGAGGAATTAAAGTTCTGGGAAGTACTTTCAGAAAGAGCAACCCAAAGGAAAATCAGATTTTTTTTATCAAGGGAAGTAGTCTTACAGTGGTAGAGAAGGGTTGGAAAGTGGCCCAAAACTCCATGAAATGCTTCAGGAAATAGCAATGTTCTACAAAAATTCTGGGAAAACTTAGTTCTTCGTAGTTTTTCAAGACGCTGCACTGCAGAAGACACCTCAGTGCCTCCCTTCTGCCATAGATTCCACCTGGGAATGCAGTGAAGCAGCAGCTGTTCTTTCTGCTAGGCACATGGTAAATCCTCCACCCACCGTCACTTCTGGGATCAAATCTGCTCCTGGAACAGCAGCTACAGTGCAACTGCACAAACCTTGCAAAGGGGCCAGAGCTTGGGTGCTGAGAACCATTTGGGGTGTCCTCAGCAAAAATGAGATTGAGCCAAAAAGAAGGGAAAAGGCCCCATCTATTTCCCTTACTGTCCACAAGACATGGTGAACAGCCATGTGCCATTTCCAAGGAGAAAAGACACAAAATCTATCCCTGGAGATCCTGCAAGCCATCTGGCTTGGTTTTATGTAGGTATGTATCAAGTGTTACTGATGCATTTGCTTCAAGCAAACTAACCAGTGGTGAATTAGTATTTTTTTCTGCTCTTGGTGGTCTGAAAATCATGTTTTCCTTTTTGGGTTTGGGGATGACAGATAGCAGCACTCACAGAGTGCACGGGGAGCCCAACCCCATCTGTGCACTGCGGTGGCATCTACAGCCTTACATCCTCTTTTGGCTCATTGATAAAACACAGCCTGGGCTCAGAGAGGCAAACGTGGGCAAGAGAAGCAGTGGTGCTGAGCTTGGAACTGAATTCAAGTCTTGGAAGTATCCCAAACGCAAAGTCATCCCTCCCCAAAAGCCACTGTCCCACAACCCTTTGATGACAGAAGGGCACAGACAATGCCACGTCGACAGTGGGACTTTGCAACACAATATGGAGGAAGCTCAAACAAGACCTTTCAGGAACAGCTTCTCTCCAAATGAGGTTGTTCTGTAACCTCATCAGGACCCCAGCTGTCTATTCACACAACTGTTTTACCATCCATCCAATGCTCCAAACACGTTTCTATGCCTGAACAGTTCATGCCAGGATTTGCAATTCTCCTCTATCTGCGGTTGATACGGTGGAAGGAAGGGATGCCATTCAGAGGGACCTCGACAGGCTGGAGGGCTGGGCTCGGGTGAACCTAATGAGGTTCAACGGCAAAGTGCAAGGTTTTGCATTTGGGCTGGAAGAACCCCAGGCACCCGTACAGGCTGGGAGGAGTGGGCCTTGAGAGCAGCTCGGCAGAGAAGGACCTGGGGGTCCTGATGGACGAGAGACTGAACATGAGCCAGCAGTGCGCTCTGGCAGCTCGAAAGGCAAATGGGATCCTGGGCTCCATCAGGAGAGGGGTGGTCAGCAGGGACAGGGAGGTGATTGTCCCTCTCTACTCGGCTCTTGTGAGGCCCCATCTGGAGTCCTGTGTCCAGGTGTGGAGCCCTCAGTACAAGAAAGACATTGAGACTTTGGAAAGGGTCCAGAGGAGGGCGACTAAGATGATCAGGGGGCTGGAGCACCTCCCCTATGAGGACAGGCTGAGGGAGTTGGGCTTGTTCAGCCTGGAGAAGAGAAGGCTGCGGGGTGACCTCATTGCAGCCTATCAATACCTGAAGGGAACCTACACCCAGGAGGGGAGTAAACTCTTCAGAAGGGCTGACAACAGCAGGACTAGGGGAAATGGATCCAAGTTGAAGGAGGGAAGATTTAGGTTGGATGTTAGGGGGAAGTTCTTCACAAGGAGAGTGGTTAGGGCCTGGAACGGGCTGCCCAGGGAGGTTGTGGATGCCCCGTCCTTGGACGTGTTCAAGGCCAGGTTGGACGGGGTCCTGGGCAACCTGATCTGAATGTGTGTGTTTGGTGGCCCTGCTGGGCAGGGGGGTTGGAACTACGTGATCCTTGAGGTCCCTTCCAACCCGGGTGATTCTGTGATTCTGTGATTCTGTGACCATAGCACTGTGCATCGACCCCACTGCCATGGCCCCCACACTGGGGTGCTCCTATCCACAGGTCCCACTGAGAAAGACGCAGACTGGGAAATTTGGTGCCAGGAATTTGAGCTGCTCCAGCACTCAACAGGCTGGCACCAAGCTACTAATACTGTTCAAAATTAGAGCTGGTAGAAAAAATGTGTCATAGCATTTATTTTGCAAAGGAAAAGTCGTTTTTAGCATTTCTTCTTTTTTTTTTAAGAGAAAGTATTTCCTCTCCCTGCACCAGTGCTCCATCCTCCCCCACCCCACTGGAATCACGTCTCATCTTGCAGAGGAAATTTTAATTTTTCATCAGGGGAAAAAAAAAAAAAAAGTTAAGCAACCCAAAGTGAATTTTTTGGCACGAGTCTCATCCATTGCAGTTCCAACATCTGCCACAACACCTCCAGCACAGAGCACCCAACCTGGGAACAGCTGCCCTGAGGATGTGTGGCAACACAGCCAAAGCAAACTGGTTGGGTTTTCCAGTAAAACACACCACTTCCCAGCTCAGAGAAAGGCTGGTTTACCTCCTGGGACACGCACATTGGTGTACAGCCTCTTGCTGCAGCAGAAGGGGAGTTCTTCTATAGGACCTGGTGGGTTCTTTATGACGAGGTTTGAGTGGATGGAGAAACCCACTCAAACTTTAGATTGTAGAGTGGTCAGGCACTGGCACAGAACATGGCACAAGCAAAGGCTGCAAAGGCAGAGGAATGCTGGCTTGATATCCTCCAGGGTGCAGGAGTTGGCAGCTTTATCCATCACTATTTTTAGCCCCTCTGAGATTTTTGCAATGTCCCAGCTTTATAACAAACCCAAGAAGAGGCAAAGCTTCACCCAGCGGCATCCCATCACAGATGGCACACAGGTGACACGCTCTAACCTGAATGATTTGCAGTCCTAAAACACCTGTAACGAAGCTGTGAGAATGGGAAACTTAACAACAGCAGGGATGAGCACCCTGCCTACACCACACTGCTGCTGCGTTCAGCGAGCTTGTTATAAGTGATGTCAACAGCTACACACAAGCTGTGAATAGTTTCCTATCTCCTCCAGCCTATTTAAGTCTAGAGCAATTCGACTGACTTCTTCAGAGCTGTTTTGGATTTACACTGGCTCTGCTGAAACCAGGATGCACCACAGGGGTCTAGGAAGAGCACTGGGTCCCCATCTCTCTTTGGCACACAGCAGCACTGGAGCTTGAGCAGAACTGCACTGATTTCCTGCCATTGGGCACCAGGACTTCTGCTCACAGTGGGTGGGTCTGAGAAGGGAGAGCCCTGATATGGGACACCTCCATCACCCCTGAGCCCTCACCAACCCATCACATCACTCTGTGTAAGAGAAGTGGCTCTTCTACGCAGGGCAGCCCTAAAAATAAACCAAAAAACGAAAGAGATCCTCCCTCCAAAAAATAAACTGTGATTAATTATTCCGAAAAGGGCTGTTTATAGCCTGGACTTCATGAAACGGAATGCATGATTGAATGCACAATCTGACAATGTGCTGTTTTTCATTTCAGCACAATCAGGGCCTAAATCTGAGTCTCCCTCCCTCATCTGAGCTGGAAATGGTTTTATATTCCATCTCGCTTTAAATTACACACATCAAGTTTATAATGGGACACGGACTATTTTGTTGCCAAAACCTGCTCTGTAAGATCATCTATTAAACCGTATTTATTTTTTATGACAAACAAGAAAAATGACAAAACAGCTACCGAGCTTCTGCTAATGAGGACCAAATGCCCCCTCAGGCACCCTTCCCATCATGCTGAGCTGAGCTGAGATCCTCTCATCCAGGGACACGTGGGGCTGTGTTATCACTGTTGGCCTGCACTTGAGATCTGGGGTGCGGAGTTTTATCCTACTGGGATTCAAGCAAGAAAACACAGCTATGGCACAGGAGGGGAAACGCTCTTGTGAATAGCAAGATTGGCCAAAAAGCTGACCTTGGGGAGGGTTCCATCTCAGCAAGGCTCTGGATTGGATTCCTCCCACCCATGCTCCTCTGCAGGGCTCTCATCCACTAGACTGTGACCTAAGTGGGGCAGTGCCAGGTGCAGCCATTCCCAATGATTTATTCTTGGAGATGACAGCAACAAAAAGCCCTTCTGATTGGTACAAACAGGCCCTCATCAGTGTGGGGCACATCTTATACACCTCAAGCTTTTCAATGTTGAAGGAAAAAAAATCACCAAGATGTTAATGCTATTTCAGCTTTAAATACTGCTCCATTTATATTACAGTGTTAATGCAGAAAATTCCTCTCCTGCCATCTTTGGTTTTTTTTGCCACGCTAGTTACTAGTGAGCACAGCAGCAAGTTTTTATACCGAGCACAGCAACCCATCTCAGCCCAATAAATTCCTTATGTAGCCTATGAATAGCCAGACACATGAATAATTGAACCATGGTTTAATCAACGTTAAACGAATGCTTTAATCAAGACCAAAAACGTCATTTCTCCTTAAAAGAATTACAGACCAAGGCTCTGGCTCTGGTTTCACAGCATAGGAAGAGCACACATCTCCTTGGTGAAGCTTTAAACAAATTAATCATGCCTTTCTCCATGGCACCAGACAGGCGAGGACTGGAGCGGGTTAGCCAACCCTTCTGCTTCACCTTTGGGTTTGGAATCATAGAATCATAGAATTGTTGGAGTTGGAAGGGACCTGAAAGGTCATCCGGTCCCACTGCTCTGCACTGAGCAGGGACACCCACAGCTCCATCAGTGCTCACAGCCCATCCCCTGACTTTGGCTGTCTGCAGGGGTAGGGCACTGACATCTCTTTGGGCAACTCAAAATGTACCACGTGCTTCCTGCTGTAGCCACACAGTGAATGGCATGCAATGGAAAGGAGATTGTGGAAGCAAAGGCCCTGCCAGCTTGGGTGTGTGTCTATGTGTCCCATACCACCTCTGTGGCTTGTACTTGGTGGGCTGCTCAGCACCATACAGCAGTTTGCTCATTCCTACAGGGATGGGAGAGAACTGGGAAAAGGGTAAAACTCATAGGTTGAGACAAAGACAGTTTAATAGAACAGAAAAGGAAGGGAAGATGATAATGATAAAATATAATAAATAAAATATACTGAACAAGTGATAATAATAAAAGAATATACTGAACAAGTGATGCACAATGTGATGCTCACCAGGCTCAGCATGATGCCATAAGGTATGGGATGTCCTTTTGGTCTGCCATCCTGGTGCTGTCCCCTCTCAGCTCTTTATCCCCTCACTGGCAGAGCAACAGGAAAAGCTGAGATGTCCTTGGCTCCATGCAGCACTGCTCTGCACCAACAAAACCACTGGTGTGCTACCCACATTCTGAATCACAGAATATCTCAAGTTGGACCAGGAGGATCATCCTAAATCCAAAACTGAGCACCATCCCAGCTGTTAGGCGACAATCCACTCTATTCCAGCTGAAACAAGGACAGCTTTCACTAACAAGAGACAGCCATGCTCCAATGGGACATCTGTGACCTAAGACATCTGCGACAGCACCAGCTAAGCTGCAGGTTTTAGGTTTCCATTCTCAAACTTGCCACAGAAAACACTGATGGAAGCAATGCCTTCCGCCATCACACCTCCAACATCCTTTGTGCAAAACATGGGGTACACACTGCTCATATCCAACACTATCAGAGAAAGTAGCCCTGGATATCCAGCCCACCCCTGCAAGCATCAGCTTCTTTGGGATTTGCCTTTATCAGCTGATGAGATTTTGAAAGAGAAAATCATCACTTACACGCCCAAATACAATAGCAGCCAGTCCAATCTTCCCTCTCTGGGGGAAGGGGAGGTCATGCAAGCTCTCAGCCCGCACTGCTGGCTCCGAGCTGCAAGTTTCCTCCCCTCCAGGAGTCTCAGCGACGCTGTTTTGGTTCCAGGCAGATGGGGCACCCTCCAGTCCGGCTGCTTCGCTGTCTCCAGCTTTCTTAAAAAGGTCAGGAAACGCTTTGCCTGGCAGACAGATGAGTCGTGAAGCCTCAGGATTTGCAGCAGAATGAGGTTATTACATTGCAAACTCCATCCTGGGGAGCAGCAACACAAAAAACTTGTCAGGAGTTTTTCAGTGAAAAGGATTTTTCTCTTTTCCATTTTCTTAAAAAGATCAAAGAAATAAAAGAAGTTGGATCTTAAAGCAAATAATTCTCTTCTTCTGATAACTATTTCACATTCTTCTGGTGTTTGTTTTCCAACCTGTTGCCCCCAGGGCCCTTCCACACTTCACTTTTTTTTTTTTCCCCATTGCCACTATTAGAAGAAGGAAAGAGTATAAAAAAAGCGTAGAGGAGAGGAAATCCTTCCCTCCCTTAAACACTCATTCAGCAGCTCTTCAGTTCCCACTGCCTTTGCGCTGCACCACAAAACCCAGAGCATCAGATAACCACAGTGTGTGCAGGCAGCGGCTCTGAGAGCACCATGTGAGCAGTGATGGGGCAGCTCTGGGCTGGGAAGGGGCAGGTCAGCACCCACTCCCCATATCCACGTCACACCTGGGTGCCACAGGATGCCACAGAACGGCACAGGCAGGAGTGAAAGCGCAGCACTGTAATTGCAGGTACCTCTCTACCTCTCCATTCTCGGAGCGCTGCGTATTGAATCTCTGATGTCCACAGAAACTTAAATGCTCAGGAGCTGCTCCTGCTCAGCCACACATCCCCTAATGCTATCCCTAACCCTCTGCCTTCCCCCAGCCCATTAGCACAGATACCACAAATGCCAGCCCCCAGTTGCCAGCCAGGCAGTGCCCAGCAAAATGCAGACTTTGGGTATCATAGAGCCCGGGCTGAGCTCCCACCTAAGCACAGCCTTTATCAGCTTCAGCATCTGCTGTTCCAAACACCCTTCACAAAACCTATTCTGTACCAGATCTGCAAAAGTTGCAGGTAACAAGGTAACAGGCTGCAGCAGCATCAGGTGTAGGTGGCAGATCCACAACTGCTGCCACCAGGCAAAGCTCAACTGATGGGTAAGGAATGGGTGGCTTTGCCCATGTAGCTGCACACCATGAGCTCTGCATCTCACCGAGCACGTGGGGCTGTGAAAGGTTGAAGGGCCCAAGAAATGGTCCTGGTTCAAGAAATGCTGTTTGCACCTTAGCATGCCTCAGAGCCGAGCTGCCTGCAGCCAGGCCAATTTGCACCAACAGAGGACGGGGGCCTTCCATCCCCTTTGGGAACATCACCCCAGGCTGCTGCTGCTCTGTGACCCCTGCTCTGTGATCCTTGCTCGTGTTGCTCCCTGAAAGGCAACCCAACGCCCAGCACCACAAAACAAACCATTGTACCTTTAAGGCGCTGCTCCAGAAAGAAAAGGCCTTTCATAGCAGCGAACAGCATCTCTTTTACTCCACGCACCATCTGTTTGCCAAGATGAAGAGCTCTGGGCTGGCAGAGGCTTAGTCATTCGGACAAGAATAGGTCCCACTGTACTTACACTTCCCAGCTCCCAAAATAAAACCACGGCGAGTCACTGGCTTTGCTTAGCCCATGGAGAACACAGAGCTGCTCTCAGGAGCATCTCAGCTGTTGCCTTCCCCTAAGGCAGAATCAAAAGAGGAACCCTCATCCCTGAGGGTGCTCAAGGTCAGGCTGGATGGGCCCTAATGTAGAGCCTAAGGTAGTGGTTGGCAATCCTACCCACAGCAGGGGCTGGAACTGGATGGTCTTTGAGGTCCCTTCCAACCCAAGCCATTCTGTGATTCCAACACAGCACTGGGAACCCTGTGGTCAGCGGTCCCTACAAAGGCAGCCTTATCAAGTCAGGGTATTCTAGGGATGGGAGACTGCTCCATTAGAGCATCCTTACAACCATGGCTGGCAACTGAGCCACATGAAGCCCCACCTCAGGTCATCCTGCTGGGAGGATCCCAATGGCCCCATTGCTCCAACACGGGCATGGGCTGGGATGGGCGCAGGGGAGCTCTGATCTTCTGATCTTGCTGGGGATTTCCCAGCTCCTTGTGGCCAAACCTAAGCAGTATTTAAATACCATCACCTTGCTCCCTCTCCCTTTCTTACTGTCACCTGCAAATTTAGATTAACAAGAAGGTATGACAAAGTGCTACTGCATATGTTAATAAACCCATTAGTGTCGGCCCGCCTGACATATAACCTGCAGAGCCTCCGATGTTTACTAATATGATTGTCAAAGCAGAGGAACATTACATTTTAATGACATTTCATATCACTTCAGTTGAAGTAATATCCTGGGACATGATAATCAGAAAGCCATTTAGCCACAGAACTATGTGCCGAATTGAGGCTGGTGCATGAAAAATGCTCATTTTGTCAGAATTAAAACATTTGTGTTTTTGCTTCATAAGTTGCAAGTGCACTTGTGGTGAAACACATTGTGAAATATTCATTGGAAGCAGCTCGGTTCAGGTAAATGGGGCTTCCAGATGAAATGCAGGAAGAGGTTATTATTGCATTTGCTGCGTTTTTAGCAAGCCGTACAGCGATGGGCAATTGATACCTATGACATGCTTAACAAACCAATGAGGTTTTGGAACTTCTCCTTAAATGAAACTTCTGCAGTGGTACGAGTGGTCATGACGGCCCCAGCTGAATCTGCTGCTGTGTGCTGAGAGCAGGGGAATGGCTGCAAGACAGAATTTGTCCTGGGTCCCTTAAGCAGATTATGATACAGAAATAAATAACTGAATAAGAATTTCTCCTCTTCTGAAATAAAGTATCAAGGGGCCATCAATCTGAACAGAACAGCTTTCTGATAGAAACTAGCAATTGATTCAGTTGAAATCTCCCATCGGATGGGGGACAGAGCTGATTAAAGCTGTGCATGCACTATTAATAGGAGCAGGATGCACTTCTGTCATTATTATTAATTATGCTTCTGTGATTACTATCTGTTCATCCTTCCACTCATCCTCCTTCTTTAATCCCATCACTGGCCAGGTCCGGATGACACAAATTCTTGCTCTCTTTTCACTGCCAGTTTGCCAGGGTGAGGTGGAAAGACAAAGTCTTTTCCAGCCTTAAGGATGCCCTGTGTGGTCACGGTGGGGATGGATAGATTCTATGCAGTGGTACGATAGATAGATAGATAGATAGATAGATAGATAGATAGATAGATAGATAGATAGGATAGATTCTATGATCATAGAATCATAGAATCACAGAATGGCTTGGGTTGGAAGGGATCCTCAAACTCCAACCCCCCTGCCACATGCATGGGCCACCAACCTCCACATTTAATACTGGACCAGGCTGCCAAGGGCCCCATCCAACCTGCCAGTGAACACCTCCAGGGACGGGGCATCGGTCCATAGATGGTTGGGCTTTAATATCTTAGAGGTCTTTTCCAACTTTAACTGATTCTATGACAATTATGAGAGAGTGGGGGTTGGAGATGTGTGGGCGTGAGCATCCGTTTGAGAAAAAAGCACAAAGAGAGAGTTGCCAAAGCAGGAGGCCTGACCCCAGGGTCCCTTCCCACACCCACAAGCTCGTCCCTACCTGGAGGCCAGGTTCTCCCAATCTCTCAGCCGCTGTTCCCAAGATAGGCAGAAATTTTCCTTGGCCAAATAATTAGGCTGTGATAAGAGGAAACAAATGGGCCCTCAGAGCAGTGAGGGCTGCAATAAGAGATGAATTATTAGTCCAAGATGGAAATCTCTTTTGATAAATGACTGGCCTCAAGCAAGGAAGGATTCAACAAAACACAACAACGTCCTTGTTGTGACACGAGGAAAGGAAGGAACAAACCGCGCGCAGTGCAACAAAGCCTCCGCGCTACTGCCCTGACCAATGGATTAACCAAGTGTGTCCCACAGTGTCGCCACGCTCCCCTCTTTGCACTACTTACAGCCTCCCCACGCGGAGCACAGCGATGGAAGGTGCTCACCCTGACAGACGTCACCGTGGAGGGCGTCAGGAAGAAGTGAGGAGCAGAGACTGCAGATGCATGGGGCACTTCAAAGCAAACACCGAGCACTCAGCCACGGCGGTCTGGGAACAGAAAAAGGAGAGAGAACTGTGTTTTTGCTGTTTTCCTGCAAGCAGTTGGCTTAGTAGGGTGGGGCAATGCCTTGTACTCCAAGTGGAAGAACTGCCATTTATTAACGCTGGCCCGGTTCCTGATATTTTTTTTTAAGTACAGAGCTGGGGAAGAAAATCCATTGGTTGCTGAAAATAAACCTGACAATGAGGCACTGGGCATGCCATTGAAATCAGCAGGTTTTAACATCACAGCTTCTCCTGGACTTTGATGTTTGGGGGAATGCTGCCTGTATGCTGCATGCACAGCAGAGTTCAGCATGTCTAACAGCAGGAAGGTACAAGAAAACCTTCCCAAGACCCCTGCTGATCAGTATTCAGCCCCATGCAATAAGACTGGTGGAGTTTCCAAGCCCCCATAGCCTTGAATGCATTTAAAAGGGGATAGGGGGATCCCAGGGGATAGGGCCTTTGGTACCACTACATTCAGTGGGATATTTAAGTAGAAGTGGTTGGTAGGAACATGCACTCAACATGCATGCATACTGTGTATACACACACCCATACATCCATGCTTTTAAAAAATCTGGCAGAAGGAGCTCGAGCATGAATTGCTAAATGTATTTCTTTCTCTGTCCTTCCCCAGAAACCGCTACCAAAACAAACTATCATCTCCATCTAATGAGATTAGCAAGGTACCATGCTAGATCTTTATTAGTTAAAGCTGACCAGAGTGCAAAACTTGGCCTGAATTGTAAATGAGCTGATTGCCAGATTGAGGAGTGCAGCCAACAAGTAGATTTATTCCAAATGGGTCTCTGCTGTTTGCCTTGGGGAATATGCTTCCTTCTCTTTAACTCCCTGAAAAATGGTAGCCAAATTTCTGCTTTCCTTACATTCCCCAAAGCCAGCAGTACTGCTGCTTCCCACTCACACTGACCTATGCAAACTTAATCACCCTGACCTTGGTGATTTATTTGAGTACAAGGTAAGAGGGAATCAAACTTACTGGCTCTGGTGGCTCACGGGAGGATTTTACACCAAGGATGTTTATATATGGCAGTTCCTGCCTCCTCCACTTTGTCTGACTGGCAGCTTGAAGAGGCCAACACTCTAAGTACTACAAGGGGAGCTCTGCATGCTGATATCAGAAATGCTTGTTTACAGCATCTTCTGCACTCAGACCAGTTACTTTGGCTCCCAGTATTTCTCTTTTGTAAAAACAACGCAGGGAGAAACAAGTGAGAAAGACAATTTACGTTATGCAACGAATGATGCTAGCCTACCCTCACATGTAGTGATCAGTAGGAAATCTTTCATGAGATCTGCACATTCCTTTCCTCAGTCACGCCCAGAGCCTCCCATTAAAGGTCTCAGAAGGACCAGCACATGCCTTGGGGGAAGGAACAGAGGCCAAAGCATGGCCACGTATGAGTGTTTCACCGCAAACAACTTTCTTGCTTTGGAGTAGAAATGGGAAGCATACGCAGAGCAGATCTGGTTTCCATCAGTCTGTTATTTATAGTGCTGGTTTCACACCGTGGCTTACACACACTCATGCTTGTTCCTTCAGACTGCCGTGCTTCCCTCTTACCTGAGCAATGAATCTCTGAGTTCTGCCCTGCTGCAATAAGCCTGCCAGCACCTCAGCTGAACATCCACTAAATAGCTCCACAGAGCTTGGCTGCTCATGAAATGAGAGTCAGTAAGCTGAGTATCTCCAAAGCATCCTTCTGATCCTCGGGCGATGGTAGAGAAGACAGACTAGTTTATCAAGAGTGCACAAGAGAGAGATCTTCTGGAGCCTCTGACTACAGGCCCCAAAGAACTAACTGCATGTTTATGGCTGGATCAATCGAAAACACCTTTGGCACGGCAAAAAATACTGTCTGATGAAACAGCAAGTTGCTCTGCTCAGCTACTGCACTCTATTGGCTGCATGGTGGCAAAGACTTGACAGAAAGTCCCACTTTGACCAACTCATCGGAGGCAGCAATGAGACCTCCCATACAAGCATCCCGTGTCTGGGCTGTGATCCTCTCCAGCACAGCTCCCTGGGAAGCCTGCAGCCCATCCACTTGTTGATTGCTCATGGAGAGCAAAATGAGGGCGGTAGGGCCCATCTGGTGTGCCTGGAGTCATCCAGTGCTGTCCTAAGCTCTGAGTTCAAACAATGGCTGTTTGGTCTCTGCTGTTGATTGAATGAGATTTGTTGTCTGTAATAAAACTCCTGGCACATGATCAGTCGCTGCATATAAACCTAAATTACTCCAGGAAAAGCCAGGATACTGTCAAACAGCTCTAAAACATCAGTAAAACAGAGGCCAACCCCAGGCATGGCTCTGAAGAGCTATGAGTACGCCGGCGATGTTCTCCAGCTTCCCCTCCGGCAGACGCGGGGGCAAAGGGACTGAGGACAATGGCTGTTCTTGAGAATTCCCTGCCAGCAACTGCATCAACACAAAGGCCAGGGCAATTTCCAAGATGGCCAGGACCAAAGAGCAGAAGATGACATCACACTCTGTCCATGAGCCTATAATCAACAAGCTATCCCCACTGGACAAACAGCACATGAGTTATGAAGCATGGCACCTTCTCCCAAACTTGCAGAAGATAAATTGATAGCAGATTGGATGGGAAACCAAATGATGTGAGTTTGCCAGTTGCCCTCCAGCAGCAGTTCACCATGCCAGGGGCTGCACAGCTGTGGCAGGCTGCAGAACAGGAGTACTCCTTCCAGCAGCATTCTCTGGGCTGCTACAGCTCAGTGAACATTTACCAGGAAACCACATAAGCATTTAGCCTAAGCAAGATGCGCCCAGGAGACCAGGTGATAATGTCTGACCTACTGCTAAATCTACAGGTGGTTCAGGTTAGGGGAGATGGATGTTGCGCCCTACTTGTGGAGTCCTAGGGCCAGAGCCAGGGGCCTACATATAGGTTCCTGCACCTAGTGCCACTGCAGACATAGCAGCAGATCTGCACAGATGTCTCAAACTGCACAGTGTGCTTATTGGGGACTAGGAATGAAAAAGGGAACTGTAATTACAGTTTTGAGGGCTGTGGGGTAGAAGGGAACCACTTGCATCAAGATACTTATGGTGCTTTATAGTTTAGCTTACCGAAAAGAAGTACCTTATTAAAGGTAAAGAGCACCTACTAAAGAGGAGATCTCTAACTGCAGAACTCTCTTTTATCTAACAGACAAAAGCCTATCAAGATCAAACTGCTGGAAGCCAAAATTAGACAAATTCAAACTGCAAGGAAGGTGCCAGTTTGTAATCAAAAGAGTAATGAGCCATTGGAATTACTCACCGCAGACTGTGATGGATTGTCCACCATCTGAAACCCTTAAATCCAGAGTGGATGCTGTTCTAAAATATGCCACACTGCAGGCACATCTTTCCGTATTTGGAAACTATTGGTAAAAGCTTTCCAGCTTGCATGAATCATCTGGGCTCTAAAAAACAAACAAAAGAAATACCATGCTGCCTGGTTAGAAAGGAAGAAAGGGTGTAAAGTGAGAATCTCTCTCTCCCTCTCTTTCCAAGGAGCATTCCCAAATCTTGCATACTACGTAAGACAAAGTACATGTGAGATGTGTATTTTTATCACCTTCCCAGCAGGCAGGAAAGAAAAAAACACAGGGGAAATGGTCATCTGCCAAGACACCTCTGTGCTGGACCCACTGTGGGGGAACGCCTGCTGCCAGCCATCGTGCGAGAGCAATAAACACCCAAGGCTCAGATACTCTCTCATTGAGAAAGCCTATTTTTGCTGACTTTAAGGGCACGTAATAAAAATTAGCAGGAAGGGCAAAGGGAGGTAAAAGAGCTGAAGGTTCTGAGCTGACTCTCTGTTGGGCTCTGAGAAAGAGTTAAGCCCCAGAACTGGGTGAATAAATGATTCCTTTGCTTCTCTGGTGAGTAATTTCAGGTTGCCCTCACAAAAAGCCATAGAGATCAATTCAGCCCACTTGAAATAAAAACAAGATTTAAAGCTGCTGAGATATCAAGTGAAGTATTTCACCAAGTTCATCCAGTTTCATTCTGAGGCCGTGAAAAAGGGGTTTGAGAAATTAAATGTAGGTACATTTCTAAGACACCTGTTTTGAAATAACCAAGAGAAGTATGCCAGCTTGGAAATAGCAAAATGAAACCTTTTGACTTGAAGCTGTTAGAGATAGTCTTTCTTGGCTGAAAAGATGTAATAAATTTGCAGATAGTTTTTATAAAACCCCTGCAACTGCATCGGTAGGATTGCACGTAGACCATAACCAGGAAGGCCTTTGCATCACACCAGCCTGGAACAGCCCACACAGAGAAACTCTGTTCCTCCTCCTTTCCCCAGTCCTTGCCTGCAAACACATCACTACAGTTAACACACAAAACACCATTCACTACAGTCAGAACATGGGAGCACACAGTTAGCTCTTACACCCAGGTTGGGATTGAAGTGTAACAAAACTCTTAAAAAGCAAGGATGAAATACTGAGCCTTCTGAAAGCTCCAACAGAAAGAAACGTTACTTTTCCTCAGGCAAATGTGAAAAGCGAATAAAAGTACTTTTTTCTTTATTCATTTGAGTTTATTCAGCCACATCCAGAGAAGGTGCTCCAGATTTATTCACGGCAGAGTGGCTCAGAGCAAAATTCAGCCCATACTGGCAATACTTTGGGTTCACACCAACACCGTGTGGCCAGCTGAAGGCCCTCAAAGTAGCCAGCGCTGCTTGACGTTCAGCCTTATTCTGCCTTCTATTACAGTGAGCAGGTCTCCAGATCAAGAGCTGCTTTACCTGAGGTTTGTTTGGGGCTCCTCAACTTCTACAGAGCTCCTAGAATCATCTCAGCACAAGTCATCTGAAAGTTATGGCTGCAAGTAGACTTTATGATTCAGAAGCCACCAGAAATGTGCAGACTTTTGCTAAGAAATTACACAGCTAAAGCATAAGTGTTTCCCCAGCTAGAGTTATCCAGGCAGTTCTGGATATAAATCATGTATGAGGGATTGTTCTTACATTAATATATTTTTTCAGGTCAGGACCTAACCACAGAGAGACTGAAACAACCCATGTAATGGCAAAGAGGAGGTCAATACGTGAGAGGAAAATCAAACCAGGATCTGGCCATACCCAACCCAGCAGCTTGCCCTTCCTTGTTAAGGTCACTGGAAAATGAGAATAATCAGAGCCTGAGAAGTAGAACATAAAGGCTGAGCTTAAGGGAGAATCTCTTGCCTGAAATCCTGGTTGAACAGATGCCTGAAACCATCTCAGGGCATTTGTCTTGGACTCAGTGAACCCTACAAATAGAGTAAGCGAAACCCTACAAAATGCACTTTGCATGGGTGGCAGATGGGCCCCATGGGCTGAGCAGGTATTGCCCACATCTCACTCTGGTGTTCTGGTGTTCCTGCAGTGTAACTCTTAACACCCACAACCACATTAGCCACAAGTCTACGCTGTACCGTGGTCTGGTCCAGCAGGAGAAGCTGTGGTCATCACTAGTAAAAATATTTTCAAATTATCTCAGGTTGGATATTAAGGAAAACTTCTAGGAAAGAGTGGTCAGACACTGCCCAGGGAAGTAGTGGAGTCACCGTCCCTGGAGGTGTTCAAGAATAGTGAGGATGTGGTACTTGGACATGGGTTAGTGGGCACTATTGGTGGCAGGGGGACACCTGGACTAGATGACCTTAGAGATCTTTTCCAACCTCAATAATTCTATGGGTCTATGACCTGCACTTTTTTTTGTTTTTATTCTGCTTCACCAAAACAGTTGATTTCAACACCACTTGCAAGAAATCTGAGACCCTAGATCTCATTGGCCTCTTTGCTTGGAACAGCAACAAGACTCCTTAGAAATGCCTCCTAAACAGAAACAATCTGTCATTCAGACAAGCATAAAAACAATCGGGAGGCAATAATCATTGACGTGTTCATCCTTCCTTCTCCCAAACTTCCAGGCTCACCAGGTTTTCCAGGTGAGGATCAGCTTGTGGCCCCAAGCGGCTGCATGCACACAGCCACAGATGCCCATTCCCATCGAGCAGAGGGTACGCATCAACTGAACCACAGGAACAGCAGGACAGATGAGAAATCCTCCCCTCACAACGGGAAATACAGCAGGCAGGATACCGAGAGGGTGGTCTGCCTGTTAATTCAGGAGACAGAATTCAAACTGAAAGCTCCATGTGGTGCAAATTAGCAGAAACTAATTCTAATCCATCCCACACTGGCACAGAGGCACGTCAGCCCCGCTTAAAAATTGCACCTCCCTTCAGATCCGGGCTGCCCCTGTTTTGTGCGGAGAGAAAAAAGGATGGGAAGAGGCGTGCAGATGGTCCGGATTATCGAATCGCTGTGGAGTATCAGCCGCTTGCCCTGTGCCCCGTGATAAATCCCAGTCCCCTTCCATGTTTGTGGGGAAGAGCAACGCGCTCCCGGGGCTATGGCTGGGTTGAAAGCCTGCCTAGTTAAGGAGATGTAAATGCCGAGCCCCTCTCAGCCTGTAATTGTCATCATCATCCTGTTTAGGAAACGAGCCACATCTTTGAGCAGTTACCCCATGTCTCCTCCACCTCGGGAGAGGGGCTGGGGCCCGTTTCCGGCAGCCGGCAGCGAGCCGCTTTCCTCGCCGTGACGCAAACCGACTTTGTCAGCTTGTGCATCCTCGGGTTCTGCTCGGTTCGAAGGTCCTCAGGAGCAGCTGGAAGCTGTGAGCGCGCAGCCTTCACCACAAAGCTGCCATTGAGCAGCATCAGGCCCAGCGCGGTGCCTTCAGGGCAGAGCCTGCGTCCCCACCTGAGGGGAAGTGACACTTCCACGGCTCTCGCAGAAAGCAGAGCCAAAACGCGCGCGTTCACTCCCTTCTATAGGCAAAAAAACTGAAGAAACACCCAACCGGGCCAAAATAAATACATTTGGCATCTTTCCTGCGTCCGCACCGGCACGTTTGTGGTGCTGGGACTGAAAACAGGCCCAAACTTTATTTACACTACGGCCTCTTTCCATCACTTTGGCAGTAGGAAGTCTTGGTACATATTATATTTTCTTTTCAGCATGTGTAAATGAGGATCGAGTTTTCACATTGCTTAAAATAGATGTAAATGACCCTTTATGCCATCAGAATGGTGCTTTCCTGCCATAAAAAAATCGGCCCCATTATGCTTTCATATCGTGCTCCACTCATTTAGCTTTGGTTTCCCAAACTCAGGCAATTCCCCTTGACCTTGGCAATCTGTGCTGAGATTTTACACAGCTGGGACTAAATCCAGGGGCAGGAGAAGGCACGTGAGCTCAGACAGAAACCTTCAAACTAACTTGGATTTGCAGGCCAGCGTATTCCCAATGGCCTCTCATTTATCTGTGACAATTTGTTTTCTTTCTATCAGTTGTTTTGAACGTGGCTTTAAAAAACTTTGTATATTCCAGTCTTCTTTTGAAACTATGAAAAGGAGAAAGAGGGAATAAGGAGATATTCTGGGCTTCCAGAGGGTTCTCCTGCCTCACCAATAGACTTGCCATCCTCCTGCTCTGCCAGGAGAAGCCACCACCATGTATTCCTGCCCACAACACTTGCTTTGCTCCTTCACCAGCTCACTCTACTCACTTCAAAGGAGGCCCTGATGAGAAAAGAACTGGCCTTCCTCAAATCTCTACTGTCACATGTTTTAGCCTTTCTTGAAGTGATAGTGTCTGAGCGCTGACCACACAGGCAGCCAAGCACGTGGCTGTGAGCTACTCGAGTGTTTGTTGGCTCAGGTAAGAGATGGGACACCAATCCCTTCATGCAGAGGAGACCCATGTGCCAGCAAGAGCTATCCAAGGAGCAGACTTGGTCCCGACACCTAGAAATCTGGGGGCAGCCCATGGTCTTAGGCTCAGCCCTGAACTAAGTGTCCTCGCGGAGCTTTAGTGATGCACAGAGCCCTGCTTTTCCACCTTCCCCTTGCTCTGTAGGGCAAGCAGAGCCCTGTTAGGGTCTCTAAAATAAAGCAATATATTTTCACAGTGGTGTTTCTGCCAGTGAGAGCCAGGAAGGGGCTGGCTGTTAGCTTGATTAACTACTGCTGGTGCTCCTCACTGCCCACTGCTTCTCCCCTCTCAGCTCCTACTTGTTGTCTGGACTGCTGAAAAAGAAGGGCTTTCATTCCACCTTCTGGACTATTAAAGCCAGATACCAGCCACACAACTGCAGCTCAACCTTTTCTCATTCCAACAAATACGATCTGCTTATAAACTGCCAACCAGCACACACAGAGACATCCTGACAAGTCATCAATACCATCCATCTGCCTGTAAGAGCAGGAGAGAGCGATGCTGAACCCAACTGCAGAGTAACTTAATGGAATATGCTGAAGCTCTGTCAGCCCATCCATTCCCACAGCACTCTGTGGGCACTGCCTGGCCCAGCACAGCAGTGAGGCCACAGGATAACCCAGCCAAAGGGCAGAACATTTACAGTAACTATCATTTTCTCTCCCTTGCAGAAGAATGCACAAGGGATCATCGACACTTTCTTGCCCCCTCCTCTTTTCCTCTGCAAAACAACATTCTCTCCATGCTACTCCATAGCTTTTCTCCAGAAGCAACTGTAACTGCAAACACCCAGACAGATCTTACCCAAAAGTTTATGAGGAACAGCTCACAGACACCCTGAAAACTTCAGCATACTACCTAGAGTGCTGCTGATTATTATTACTTTTTAAATCTTGGTATAGTTCTGGGTAAGGATTTAATTGGGCATTATATTTCAAAGCCAGGGAGTAGGATCTATGCAAAGCACTGGCTAGTTTTTGCATTAATTGACCATCAAATCCTTCCCGTTTGCATCTGCATTCTATTATTAGAGAATGTAAAGCAGTTTACAGGGCTTTTAACCTCTTCAAGCAAACACTCTGTGCAAGCTATGCTGCTGCAGGGACCATACTAGCTTTATAGACTTCGTTTCTAATCCAAGGAGAGGGAAAAAACGGAGAAGAGACAGAGCAAAGGAATGATTTTTGATAGTAAATTCAGCTGGTGTAAATCAGCACAGCTCCATTACTGTAAGCCAGCAAAACATCAGCCATTTGATCTGCAATGAGGTCCTCATTCCCGTAAGACCGAAGTGGAACCAGACAAATCTCCATAGGCCACGTACCAGACTTCTCCACTAAACTCCCTTCTGTTGAGTGGAAAAGCCCTGATCAGACGCCAGGGAACTATCTGGTAAAGTCCTACCATGGCACCATGGCACACATTGTGTGAGCTCACAGTCACTGGGAGGAAAATCCGCTTTATCGAGGGACTCTGATGACTTCTGCAGCCACAAGGCTGCCCCAGAGCTCCCACTGTGATGGCTGCCAGAGGCAGAGCCACACTGCAGGATGGAAGCCTACAGGTTTCTAGTGTGCAAGGGAGATGCACAAAGAACAGATCAGTGCAGCACACATGGTGTGCACACACACTACCTTCCCTCCTGAAACTTGCAATCCACTAACAGAGGGGCTTGACAGCTGCACACCTGATCAACTGCTGCCCTGGTTCCACCTTAAGCACAGCAGAAGAGAAAACAGGTAGCTGTGTAGTCTCCTTAAGAAAAGTCATATGAAGGGAGAAGATGAAATCTATCCTCACCAGGCAGGACAACCACTGTTTGATCTCCTATCTCTGTGCAGCAGGATCAGAAGGAAAACCCCTCTCTCCGTTTGCTGCCTTTGTTCTCTTTGCACAGCAGTTCCAGCACCCCACAGCAGGCAGGATTCCCATTTTGCAAATCCCCACCTTATTTCTTCCTTTCACAGTAACCCAAAATGTCACTAAACTGAGACCAGGACAGAGATTATGAGCTTGCAAACAATGGTGTAAGAGCCAGCATAATTATCTTGTTCCTAAGCATTTGATAATGCTTCCAAGTATCTTGTACTTAGTTACTTTCTAAGGTCCTGAACGTCTGGCTCTCAGGCACTACAGTTTTATTGCTACAGAATGAGCCAGGAACCATTCAAAAGCTTTAAGAGGTCTTTTTAAATACTCAGAATGAATTTACAGTGTTGGCTGCCTGGCAAACGCAACAGGCATTTCAAGTGGAAAGGAACAACCCTTTATTGCATCTGCTGTTGGCATGTAGGGCACTGTGATTGCTAGCAATTCCTCAGCTCTATTGCACAGCATCCTGCAGGCTGGGCAAAGCCAAGGGCAGCCACAGGCTGGGAAGAAAAGGTCTAGGTGAAAGTAAAGCCTGGGTTTAAAACTGACTGGGAGATTTCATTGGAAGAATTCTGTAGAAGACAATCAAAAGCTCCAAGTGTCACAGAAATGCCTTGGTTCCAATTACCACCCAGTGAACCATAAGCTGGGCTCCACCAGCAGCACTTTCCCAGCTCTGTCAGCCCAGGACATGTCCCACCTGCCTTGCTGTGCCACCTCCCTGTAGGCTCATGGGGATTCAAGCAGCCAAGCCTGCCCCCCTGGGCATTCCAGAAATCAGGGGTTTTTTGCCAGACAGTGGAGTGGACTTCAGAATAGTGCTGAGATCCCTGAGCATCACTGCTGAGGACACAGAATCACAAAGGTAGAAGACCTCTGAGACCACTTGGTCCAACCACCCACCTACCACCAGTACTGCCCTCTAACCATGTCCCTAACAGAACACTGACCCTTTCCTTAAATACCTCCAGGGACGGTGACTCCACCACCATGGATCTGCAGATGTGGATGCTACAGGGAAGAGTTTCTCCGAACTCTCCTGCTCCATCTTTGCCAAGACAAATCCTGTAGAGCCTTCGCTGTTCCCATGGTCCCACTGCTCTGCTCTGCAGCTGCCAGCATTTCTCCCCCCAAAACCTGCAGGGTCACCCTGTCCCACTCCACAACAGGTCTCTTGACTGCACAACATCTTGACCTTGTCATTTCAAATGCAGAGCGTAGTGCAACTATATGAGGGTTCCTCCATTATCTTCTACCCTCCCCCATAGGGACTCTTTTCCCTATGAGGAGATGTGGGGCAGGGTCTCAGTTGCAGCCCCCTTTTCAAGATCCAGCTCCCATCTCCCATTCTAGGAGGGGCATTTCCTGCCTTGGTAGGATACTGTTGCTTTGGGGCCTTTCTCTGCCCATTCTGGGCTCAAGAAGGTCCATGAAAATAGTATCTCACCTCCACTGGCTGGTAAAGGCTGCTTAGGAAAATATTAAGATATATGTAAGAGCCAACTGCTCTGTCCTTCCCTGGCACAGCTTCCAGAAAACACAAGTTTCCTCGGGACACTAAAGGAAAGCAATTGGCAAAGAAAACGACAGCCAGGAAAACGTTTTCCAAAGACTGGACAGGATAATTTAAAGATGTTATTATTAATGATGGCCATAGCAGTGCTAGGAAGCTCAGTGCTTTTTCATACAAGGCTGAGAAAGGAAAAGGAACAAAACTAAGCATCGTCTATGAGCAGCATGGAGCTGTGGATACCAAACAAGATGAACAACCAAGCCAAACACTCCACCTGAATGAGCGAGCTAGTGTGGGTCCTACAGAGTTCAGGCTGGAGAGAACCCATGCTAATCCCACTGACCAGGGCAGAGGATATTAAACAGAGCTTTACCTGGTGTAGGGAACCTGCTTTGGCTGGGGGGTTGGACACGATGATCTCTGGAGGTCCCTTCCAACACCTACAATTCTGTGATTCTGTGATCTGTGATTTCCAAAGACCTTTTGGGAAGTAAGCCCAAACTCACTGCAATTAAATGAGCCAAGGAATTGCCCGGAGGCTGCAAGGATCCTTGTCTGCTCTCTGAGCCTCCTGAGAGCCACCAGAACTGCTGTCACCCACATCACAGCCCTATGTGCGCCTGTGCTTCTGCACACACTGCTGGACTTTAGCCTGGGATGCTTCCTGAGGATCACGCCGAGGCCAGCAAGCCAACCGGTCATTAATTCTCAGGAAGCACCCACCGCCTCATTGGTAATTACTTAAATAAACTTCCCTTTCATGGTGCCTGAGCCAAGGCCTTTCTTTCCGACACGTCCCAGTAAAGCTTTATTTAAGGTAAGATAAGACGAGGGCTACGCACGAGGGCTGCACCTGACTAAACACTCAGCCACGGGCGATGGCCGGATGGCTCCGGCAGGATTTCACCGCCTCGTGCTCCTCTCCCACAGCCAGCTCAGCCCCATCGAGCTCACAGCGAGCAGGGAAACGGCCCGTGTATGATTTCCCCTTCTATATGCAGCATATATCCTTCATGCAAATCTGTCTCATAAATCATTGCATCCCAGGTGCACTGTGGAGTCATTTGCTAGGAAAATACTGTTCCAACCGAAGGACCCAACATACCGCAGTGCTCTTTATGAAGGGTAATATCCAGGATGGGGGTGACTTGGAGGCCTGCCAGGCTCCGAAAATGATTCATCCCGCCTGACCTTAAATCTTGGGTTCTGACTATTGCAGCCATGTTTGCAGGCAGGAAGCGTCAATCACTGCGCGCTCATTTCCCAGCCGTGGTGACAGAGCCCTGGGGCCACACGAGAACCTCCACCTGAGAACCTGTGGGTTACAAACAACTCCATATAAACCAAAACGAGGTCTCCACAAACACCAACCCAACACGTCTTGTAGAGCCTCCTTTACACCTTTTGTTCTCTGCGACTTCACTATAAGCTGCAGCCCACGCTTTTCTCACTTGCATGGCTTTGAGAAGATTGTATTGGTCTCAGAGATTCAGACTTCAGATCCCAGTCCCGATGCTCCAAGAACGTCTCAGATTTTAAGTCCACAGCTCTGTCCACTGATACAGAATTCTACCCAGACAACAGCTTGCTACAGTTCCGAAAAGAACCCGCGCATCTCAAATTCTCAAATTTTCCCAGAGCGTTCAGTATGTGCCCAAATAACTTCTTTTCTATGTCAGCAATAAGATTTGCTAATCAGACCTTTGACCCTCTTCCACGCAGACCACTGAGATATTTTAAAGTAGCTCGTGAGCGCAGGACTCATTTTTCAGAGGGCAGCTTTAAGTTACCAAAGGAAAGATCCATTTAAATGCAACGTCTAATAGCTTTGTTGTGGCAATAGGGGATATCAAAGAGTCAAGGGAGGAATATTGTACTCAGCTGAGAATATGGACGAGCAGTCAGACACAAAAGCCTTTCTATGGCTCTGACAAAGAAACAATAAACTTAAGCTCTTGTAGAGCTTAGCTTAAGCCAAAGGGATAGAGAAAGAAAAAAAATGAAATGCGGAATTAAGATGCCCAGTCTATTGATATTAAGTACAGTAATGAGGTGACATGCAATACCATAAAAATTATTAAAGCTCATAAGAAAAAATAAAATAGAAAGACACGCGGGTCAGGGATTTTCAGTAATATCCTACAAATGGACATTTTAGACCACTTAGCACCACAAGTCCCCTAGGCTTTATCCATATTCAGCACTGCCAGCACCGTCGGGCACCAGCAGCAGACAGCAGGAGCTCAGCTCTCACTGTGCCTTGCCCCCAGAGCTGCCCTTGGGTGTTTTAACCCTGAGGACAGAGAGATGGTTGATCAGGATCGATCAGGAGCAGGGACAAATGGCAACACAGTGGTGCTCAACTGCAAGCACCTACAACTCGATGTGCTAGCAAGCGGCTCTCCTGCATACCACAAAAGGGATGGGGATGCCTCCTTCTCCCATGTGGTTGGCATGTGGCACCAGACAGGATTTCCATTCTCCAGTGTTTTCACTACTCTCAAAACCATGGACCAGTTGATGTCCACCATATATTCACAGCCAGTGTAAGCAAGCCCTGCTGCTCTGACAGCCCTTCTGTTGGGTGCAGGCAGACACACGAACGTCTGGCCCAGATGTCATGCAGGAGGGAGCAGATTTGCCCAAACACACACCAGGGACATTCAGCAAAATGCTTTGACCTCTGCCCTCCTGGAATGAAAACAGCCCCTCCAAACTACCAGAAAGGGGAAGAGAAAATTGTAAATGACTTAAAGTGGGATGGAAACCTCCGAGGTTGACGATCACAAGCTAATCTTCTTGTCACGGGAGCAGACTCACCAGGCAGAAGGGAATTCCTGCCTTTGACTGGCCTAATTAAAGGCATCGAACTCTGCACCCGCTATGGCTTGATGTGCCTTAATGCGATCTGACATTCGGCATACGCGAGGAACGCTGACACACACATACGGTTCTCATTGCTTGAAGGAGTTGGCATCCACAGTGTCCCAGCTGCAGCACGCTTCCCTGCCTCGTCCTGCTGTGGAGTGGCAAAGGGGGGATATCTGTGCATCCAGCCCCATCCAGCTCTCTCAATTCTGGGGGGCTAGACTTGATGCACGAGGTCCCACGTAGGGAGAGGACTCTGGTCCGACCCAGCAATGGAAGGTCATTCAGGTTTGGGATTCAGAGATTTTCTCATGTGAATTGCAAGTGGGAGGCTCTGGCTGTCTCTCTCCTGTGTAGGGACAGGAATAACGTGTTGCTGTGCCTTTAGAGCGCAGGATAGTTCCAAGCATGAAAGTACAGAAGACTGCAAAGATCTCATATCAGGATCTGTTGGAGCACAGAGGAGAACCACAAAAATGCTCCCAGGGATGGAACACCTTTCCTACAAGGACAGGCTGAGAGCTGGGACTGTGCAGCCCGGAGAAGGGAAGGCTCCAGGGGGACCTGTGAATGGCCTTTCCATATCTACATTTAGAGAGAAGGGGACGGACTCTTGGGCAGGGTCTGTCACAACAGGATAAGGGGAAATGGTTTCAGACTAAAAGAGGGGAGATTTAGACTGGACATAAGGAAAAAGTTGCCGACAGAGGTGGTGGAAACCCTGTCCCTGGAGACATTCAAGGTGAGGCTGGACAGGGTTCTGAGCACCTGATCAAGCTGTAGGTGTCCCTGTTCAGGGCAGAGGAGTTGGACCACATGGCTTTAAGGGTCCGTTCCAAATCAAACAATTCTATGATTCCAAAGTTCAGGATACAAGATGAACCTACTGGGTATCTGCACGCAGTGATGTGCATCACAGGCACTGTGTCCCTCACCTCCTGTTCCAGATCTGGCCTCTGCATCAGGGGATACATTGCAATGCTTGACATGCTCCAGAACAGCTGGACCAACCCTGAGAAGAAACCTTGCCTTAGGAATGGATGGGAAGGAGGCACAGGAGGGCAGCTGGCGGCAGGTGGTTCTGTGCTACAGGAGCACCTGGCACTGAAGACCCATGTTGAGACTCAGACCCTGAAAAACAATAAAGCTTCTCAACGGCACTGTAAGAAACTAACTTTCCTCTTCAGTTACTGTGTAAAAGATTAGAGTCCCGCAGTACTATTACTTGTGCTGCAAGAACAAACGTTGGTCTGCTAAGTCACACGGCAGCAGGCTGTGTGTTTACATCCGAAGGTCCCAAGTTCATTTCCAGTTAATGATCCATAAGAGAGACTGCAACATTTCTCACAGGAAGACTGCTTGGAAGCTACAGATAGGCTGCTTGGGCTGGAGTAGAAACAAAGCAGTGAAATACTTGTCATGAACTATAAATCAGAAATCAGCGATGCTCTACAGGAGCAGTAACGTTTGATGCATGCTTGTACCAAGAGCCAGTCAGTAAAAGCTCCTTCAGAGTGAAAAGAAATATAGAGATGGTGAATTCAGTGCGACTGAAATGCAGAACATGTTCAAATTCATATTTAATAAAGCAATTATTGTTTATTATTGAAGTACCAATTGATTATTAAAAACACATTTATTGAGGCTGGACCACAAGGTAACAGATACGTACCTCTGGCATAGTTGCGAAACCTCAGTAAATAGTGATTATTAGAAACACATTTATTGAGGCCTAACGATACCATAAGATGTGTATCAGTTACAGAGCTCTTAAAACCTGATCAGTGCGTTCTTAAGCCGTATTTACTGAGGGTTTATAGCAGCAGCAGAGCTACATGTCTTCATTTAGGGTTGCTAAGCCACACGGAATATCATCTTAATGCTCATTTGATACTTGATTAGGTCACATTTACAAGGAAAAGGCTACATCAACCAATGGGAATGAGGAAAAAAAGAAATCGCTTTCCTGCTGCCAAAAACACAGATCTGGGCGACTATTTGACCTGTTGTCAAATCTTTTGCTAATCGCTGAGCACCAGATTGGCTGCAGCAAATGGACCATGGGTGAGCTGAGGATACGGCTGTGCAATGCTTCCACCCCAGTGCCTGGAGCTGAGCAGAGCAGGAGCCTTATAACCAGCCCTGAGCTCAAGCCTCCATCAGGTACTGATCAACCTGCACTCAATAAACCTCTGTTCTCCCCAAGGAACTTCACTGGGTCCCTCTATTTTGGCACCGCCACTGAAAACGGACTGTCACTAAAACTGCACTGATGTTGAAATAAAACAGAGGTTGAATGCTGCCCAGAAGGAGGGAGCTAAGCAGCAGAGGGGACTGAAACTGGAGTGACCTGAGAAGGAAAATATCCACCAGTGACAAGACCTGAAAGCATGCAGACAGCAAAGCCTTCCACCGTCAGTGAGCATCGTGCCCAACCAGCACAGTTCTTAAAGACCTTGGGATACATCATCTGGGGCACTGGGAGGAAGGGCCACTTGATCAGTGACACTGCACTGATCTACAACAGCTGGAGTTTGGCTCTGCCACTGCCAGGGTGAGGGAAGACACATGTCAGCCAGTGCTGCAGAACATTCAATGCCCCGTCCTTGGACGTGTTTAAGGCTAGGTTGGACGGGGTCCTGGGCAACCTGATCTAAATGTGTATGTTTGGTGGCCCTGCTAGGCAGGGGGTTGGAACTACATGATCCTTGAGGTCCTTTCCAACCCGGGTGATTCTGTGATCTGTGATTCAGCTTTGGAGCTACTTGCCCAGAAAGGTGGCGGAGCCCCTTCCTTGGAGATACTCAAGGTCAGGCTGGACAGGGCTCTGAGCACCTGATGGAGCTGTAGCTGCCCCCTGTTCATCGCAAGGGAGTTGGACTAGATGATTTTTAAGGGTCCCTTCAACTCAAACCATTCTGTGATTCTACTTTCTGCTTCCTGAGTATTTCCCAGAACTCACCAGGCGGATCCCCACCCGCCATCCCTCACCTCCAGCCCCACAGTACCTGCAACCCACTCTGCCATCTCCATCCCATACACAAAGGGCATCCCTACAGCACAGCTTCTAGGGACATCCCTGCACCAGTTGAGCCTTCCCCATGCCTTGGGATGAATACATGAGATCAGCTCCAAAGGACACAGTGAGCCAAACAAAGAGGCAGGATGGAAACCACGGCGAAAGCAAGGATTTTGCCCAGATCATGCAGAACGGTTGAGGAAAAGCCCAGGGGAGAAGGGAAGTCTGCTCCTTTTCTTTCGCCATGCCTCAGACCTCCCTGCCTCCCCTGCAGAGGAGGAGGGGAGAACAGAGCAGAGATTACCAAAGAACTCCCCTAGCTCCAGTCTACACTGTTCAAATTTATATATTCCACTACAGGTGACATCATGATTGCTGGAGTCTGACAGGTGATGCTGTAAAATGCATGAAACCATAAAAATTTCAAC